AAATAAGGTACTGTGTAGGACTAGAGTATGCATCATAATTTCGGGTAATTAAGGTTCGGTTTTATGCGATGATCCGCTCCAATTTGGCTTTGCAAAATAATGAGCTAAATAATGACCAAAAATTCGGAAGCATTTATATGAATTTGTAATGGAAGGAATAACCTTGAAACTGCCATAAATCTTTGGGCAGCTTCACGAAAAATCTTTTACGACAATTCGAGGAGTTTAATTAAAATTAAAAGGCTGCGCCTGGACTTCTCAGTTTCCGACTAGATATAACCCTGCTGGCCGGTAAACAAGTTATGAATCCCATTACATAAACCATTTCCCAGGCTGACAATCCCCAGCTAAGTGGGTGGTACTGGGTGGGCTGCGACTGTGACTGTGACCCAAGAACCCCACAACGGTTGAACTTCTACAAACGGTTTTCATATATTCATGGCAAATTATAATGCTGCGAGGGTATAAAATGCGACGAAGAAAGACAAAAGTTGGCCCATTCATAAGGGTCACACTCGGGCAGACATGGCTTGAAGCCATCCACCCATTGAGCAACCTACCTATAATACTATATACCCCATCCCCAGAATTCCAAAATAGCGAAATTGTCGAGCTGCTGCTGGCCACGTGTAAACATGCATCTCCATATATCAATAAATTGAGATTACTTTCATAATTTGTATTCCAAAATCCAAAAAACTGTTGAAAAAGTTGCCTTGGCCCCTTTTTTATATGAGTGCCCGTGTGTGTGTGTGCAGTACACGAGTACATTGTGGAAAAAGTTTTTCTTTTTGTGAGTGAGAGTGGCTGGGGAGTTTTCCTCGGGGAGCAATTCGGTTAATATTCCGAACATAAATTTGCAAAGGAACCACTTTAATCAATGGCCAGGTAGGGCCACCTGTACAGGGTATAGGGATTGGGATTGGGATATAGATATGGGCAGGGCGCAGAGATCAAAGGCCGCCCCACACCGCCCCGCCCTTTTCCCCCTCTTCGAGGTGCAATGTACCATTAAGCGGTGGTATTGAATTGCCTGAGAGGAGCAAAACAATGGACGTGTGGCTGCGATTTTTCCGGCTCATTCGCTTCTGATTTGGCAGGCTGAGATGCAAATACCTGGTTGCGTTTATCTTTAGGTTTGTTTTTAAGAGTATCTTAATACTATTTAACATAATAAAGGGAATGCATTTACCATTAAAATGGTAAGATATTAATATAGGTTAAAAGCTTATTATCTTTTTTTTTTTAAATTGTGTACATGACCTTGTAGTATTAAATTTTAGTGGAATTAAGCTAAAGACCATTAAACTTTAAAAATAGCAATTGTAATAACTTTTAAAGATTTGAGTATTTTGTTGTACGCCAACTATTAATTTATATAAAAAACGTTTAATATTGCCCCCGGCAGGCATAAATTGCGAAGCCCTCCGGCTTGCCATAGGGGTTTTGACCCGGGATTCCAGTCCGGACATTGTTTGTTTTTCTGGCGGAAAGGAAGATGGAAATAGAAATGGAGCAGAGACAGGGGTCCGGGAAACCAGTGATGCGTTTCGCTTATAACCCATATTCAATTTCGTTTTGCAGATCTCGCGCCGCAGGCGGTAGTTCTAGGATTCTAGGTCCTCTGGAATCGAGAGCATCGAGTGCATCCTCATGACCGCCGGCTAAGCCAACTTGCATAATCACTGCGATGGACTTTGAATTTATAGAAAGCTTTGCGGGCACCTGAGTCACGAGCCCATAACCCTCATCCTCTGCAAAACCTCCACTTGAACGCCCACTCCCAAACTACTGACCAATTATTGAGCCGTTGCCAAATGCAAGGGCATAAAATGAGCGCACATATTGCCGGGACGAGCTGCGTGGGGATTCGGATTGCAAGGAGCAAGGAGCCGGAGAGGAAAGGAAAGGTGCGGTGTGGAGTAGAGGGCAGAGCCGAAGTTGGCATTAGTTTTGGAGGAGCACCAGGAGGAGGCGCTTGTGGCAGCGGCGCAAAAACAAGAGCAATAACTGTTTGGCAAACAGATTTATTTTTGTTCCTAAGTCCGCAGGAGCGGAGTTAGCACTTACGGGTTTTAGCAACCCGAACTAATTTCCTTCCAGGTCAATACATATTTTGGAGTCTTTCTTTTTTTAATCGAAAATTGGAGAAGTGTGTTTGACAAAATTGTATTCAAAAAATGAAAACAGACTAATAACATTTAAATGTTTAAAGTCGTTTTAAATCTTTGTCAACGCTTTACTATACTGTTTCCCATAATGTATACCTATTACGATTTTTAATTTTTGTATAGAAACAATTAAAACATACTCCATAATTGGTTCCATATTTTGTTCTGTTGACCGCTAATGGTCAGAATATTAAATATTTTTTTTATTTACATATGGTTATAGTTTAGCCAATAACTATAAAAAATGTAATGTGCTTAGACAATTTTGAAAAGAGATGTGTTTAACTAGAGTGAAAAATGTTCTCAATCGTTTGAATTTAAAATAATACACAATTGTTTTTGCACTTAAAACCTCTCAACAATGCAGTAATGGTAGCAGTTGTTACTCATCTCTCCCCCAGAGAATTATAATTCCTAAATGATCACAGATTCATACGGACCAAACTCAATTATCCATTTAGGGACAGAACAAACAAGGACCGCTCCTGGCCTTCCCTTTGGGTTTACGCCCACGGCCCGCACAAATATTGGTTTCTAACTTTCATTGCCACTGCGGTGTGCCGTCTGCAAAGCCCGGTCACAACTAGAAAAGGCCTTCTGCCTCCTGGCTACTGGCTACTGGCTCCTGGCTCCTGCTGATGCTACATTAAGTGCATGTTTTGACTGCGCCGCATCCTCGCAGCCCCGACTCGATTCTGACCACAGACAGCCAGGCCCACACACATTTGCCAGCCACCAGACCACCCAGCCACCCAAAAAAAGGGTGGGAAACGTGGGCCGCGTGGGTGCAGTGCATCATTTTTGCATTAGAAAAGTGCAGGGCCATGAAAACTGTAAATAACCTGGAACATATAAGACCGAGAGCCGGGGCCAAAGTCCCAATGGCTGCGCTGCTGGGCCAGCCGCAAATTATGCTTGTCAAAAATGAATGTTGCATACGTAACGCAAGGCAAGGCAGGCTGCACTGCAAGAAATATATGTTTTTCCAACTAATTAAATGTAAACGACAAGCAAAATAATCGTTCAATAAAAACAAATTGATTTTAAAAAACAAATAGTTAAGAAACTTTTAAAACGTAAAGAATAAAGAAAAATAAGTATATCCAAAAAAAATTATTCTTAATTTTATAAAAAATGTCTTAATTTAAAGAACAATGGACTCTACATGACCATAACAAAAAGGAACATATTATTATGGCTATGTTATACATAAATTTAGGCCGTAAAAATGTAAGAACCGATTATTTAAATTTAGAACCTAAAACTTGTGCCTTAGTATTGGGTTTCTGTGCATCAGACGGTGCAACGTTTACAATCAGCCATATAATTTTACATCACATTTTCGGTGACTTTGAGGATTACAGTGTTCACTTTCAGTGCATTTAACGAGCCACAAGTACGACACAGGGAAAGGGGGTTGAGAGGGACTGAGGGGGCTGGCGAAAGCGAGGTCGCTGCTAGAAATCGCAGTTGTTTGCGGCTGTCGACATCGGCGTACGTGCTCGATGCCTGGCAATCGGATTCCCCAGAGGGTAGCACATCGCACATGGACCACGTATCCGTACTTCAGGCAAACCAAACCAACCCGAAGTCGGTGCCAACGGGCCCGAATCGAAGCCCATTCCTTTTTCTCGGTCTGACTATGGCTATGGGTCTTGGTGGTTTTGGCCACGATGTGTTGCCACCAAGTGAAGCTCAGTTGAGATGCAGATGACTATGACGCTGTCGCAAGGGCAACTTTTGACTAAATGGGCACCGAGTGCATTAAGATGAAAATGTTATTACAGCCAGAGCTGCTGCTTCCTGGCACGGAGAGAAAATATTTTCAAACAATTTTAGATAAACCGTTATGTTTAAACTAGTAACTGATTTAAAATTTCCGGACCACTAAAAATTTAAATCAATTTCGGATTAAGGTACTAAACTTTAACAATTTCTTTACATCTATTTAAAAATGTAGTAAATCAACTCACTAAACAACAAACAATTTTCATACAATTTCGTATAGACTGCTAAGTTTGAATTAAAAATGGCTTTACAATTTCTTTAACAAAAATAAAATTTAAAAAAAAATTAAAGTCCTTATAAAACAATTTAATGATTGAGTAAATCCACACACTCAATATGCAAAAAAGCAGAATTTCACGTAAATTCAGTTTTTAATATTCATTCTCCTGGAAGTTCCTGTTCAATTGAATTGGTTGGCGTACAATTTTAAGTAAAATGTAATTTTCCGGTTGAACGGTTAACATATTTTTGCGCAAGGAAGCGATCTAATAGTTGCCGGTTTCCCTAAGTGTACAATCACCGCAGTCATTATTGAAGCATTTGTAAGGTGGCTGGTGGCTGGGAAGCGGAGATTAGGCGCGGAAATGCTCTGAATGTTCGTTTGGTTATCGCCAGCAAACATTTCAAAATGGCTATGGCAAAAGTCGGAAATTTGATATGCCAAAAACCGTTTACGATCAACAAGTGATAGAAGCGGGGGCCCATGGCAAATTATGCAGATTGGCTGGAATGGGGGAAGAGTGGGGGGATATGGGGAAAAGGACCTAGGATATTGAGGAAGTTGGCTGCAGTGTTTGGCGAGAACTTTCCATCAAGTGCGCAGGAAGAGACATTGATTTGACTGCAGCGAAGTTTTCCAATATGGAAATATCATCAAATCGATTTTCCTTTTTTCCCCATTTGATAGTGTGTGTTTGGTCTTGTTTTTGCGTCCATGTGCGGCTGTAATGACAGTATGCTAAATGGTATATGGCATTGGCAAATGGGGATCTGGATTGCAGCTGGAAAAACGAGCGTACATGCTATATATGAAAGGCTTTGTTTTTGGTTTTATTAAATTTATTCATATTTCTCTTTGTGTTCGTTTGTTACTCGTATTATTACTGTAATAATAATAATTATTATTATTCCATCTATGTTAATATAGTGTGTAATAAAGCTTGACAATCTATTAATGCTATTACAATGTATTCTCGGTTATATTGTTTGTTAAATGTTCACTTTTTCCGGTCTGTCATGTTCGTGTCCGTATCCGTGTGTCCTGCCGCCAACTGTCCTGTCGTGATGTTTTGTATTTATAAATGCGTATACGACAAGTATTCAAGTGTGCATGAATTCGTGATGGATTCTGTGTGGCTGGTAGGATTTGGCTAATTTCAGCTTTTGAATGGAATTCAAGTTAAAATTCAATATGCAATGCGTTTGTTATGGTATTGTACAAAACTTGTTTCTACTATTCATCATTCGAATTAAATTTTTTTTGGCACTTCGCAGCGCTCATAAAAAGTTAATTTTTACCGCTTTTTCGCTTTTCCCTTCAATGCATGCCACTTGCACCGAACAGAGATGCAGATCCAGATACGCAGATACATTTGGCGTCTAGGTATCTGGATCTGTGTGTGCCTTTCATTTGCGTTCAAGAAGAGTAATTAAAATCATAGTTACGTTCCGTGCGGAAAAACGCGTGGCAGTCGTGGGAAATGGGAAACGTAGTTAAAAGCATAGTTTAAATTTCCTCTAGTTGCTGGGCTCTCATTTTTCATTACCATTACTCTATTTGCGTGTTTACACTTGTCTTTTGCTCTCGCTCTGTTCGCGGTTTCCATTTGGTTTTAATTAGTTAAAACGATTTAAAATGAATAAAATATTGCCTCTGTCTGCGCGAGTATGATGTAATTAAAATGGCCTATGTACAGGGTTCTCCTATCAGTTTCAGTTTCAGGATCAGATCCTATGTCCATTAAAACGGACAAATAATGCTTTAATTGAATCATTCATTCTGCGCTGTCAAAAATGAGGTACGCAGATAAAACGGGGGGAATTCGGTAAAAACTAGAATGTTCTGTTTGCCGTGTTTTGTGTGCGCTGTGCAAATTTGCACTGGTTCAGTTCATAATACCAAAATACAAAAATCCCTTCGCTCGGCACTCGGCACACATTAAACAGCAACAGCGATAAAACAAATAAAAGGGGTAACTACGGGGTGAAGGGGTAAAAATCTCATGGACGTTGTGCAAATATTTGCCAGCATACTTTTCCATAATTATTATAGTAATTCATTGCATTCATGTGTTTAATTATTCCGCACACAATCAAACACACACACACACATTCATAATGCAGAGGGGCGGTGAGTGGGCGTGGTCATGTAAGTTGAATTTATCGTGTACTTATATTGACTTCTATAGCTTACATTTTACATTACCAAGCTCGAATTTGAAACTTTCTACAGACACAAAAAATCCATTTAATGCGGCCTCTGTTCTTGTGTGCTCTCTCCTCTTCATAGATCTCGATAAATGTTCAAACATATATACTATATATAAGATATACACATCGATATAGCCTCGCTTAGGTCGTATTTGTAATTCATTTCATTCTACATTCAGATTACACACAAGTACAAACGTATGCAGATATTTATATAGATAGTGTACTAGACTTATCTTTGGTCTACTTACAGGATTTCGAGTGGAAAATTGGGGCGATTGACAAACCGAAAATGTTCTATTCTGTTTGCCCGAATAAGAGTGGTCTAAATTTAAGATTGACTAAATCAAAGGTACTAAGTGTTCAGCAAATCCTACGGTTTTATAATCAAAAATAGCCCTAACAGGTTAAAACAGACTTTAAAAACGTTGGCATGAGTTTGTGTATATGCGATACTTTTGAGGTTATTGAGCATAATATTACTTTGATTTAAAAGTCTCTAAGCAATTAGTAAAACATTTACATATGTACAAGAAAGGAACTTTTTTATGGGGCTAAAAACTAGATAATGTATTTATATATCCATTGCACATCGAAGATGGTTATATGGGCGTATATGTATATGGGTCCTAATAGATCTTGCTAACATTTTGTATACATGCATATCTAGAGATATCATTGTTTATGTATCTGGTTTCATCAAAAACCTATTCTAATCCTATTCAGTGACTGATCTCTTAAACGTAAATAGATACTTTCACTAAAACTCTAGCACCCCAGAAGCAATATGTCTAAGACTAGACCAGCTTTGGATCCAATAATATGCGGTTGCTCGTACTATACACTTTATGAAGATCAGTTTTGGTCGCTATACCTGCTAGAATACATCGCTATCGATCTCTATTAATGTACAGACATCAAGTGGACTAATATCGAATGCTAGCTAGGATTGGGACAGTATAAAGATCTCTAATGAAGTACGCTATAAATCTTGGAAGTATTTTCTTTAAAGGTATCTAGTCTGAGAGTGCGATCCGAATGGAAAACATATGTAATCTGTGCTTGCCTCGCTGTTAACTTAACATTCTTAAATTCTCTGATTTTGATTGGAGTTTTCTGCCAGTAACAATTGGGTTTTTAATTTCACAAATTTTGTTTGATTTCGGATTAATATTAAGTGGTTTCTTGGTTTCACAACAACAAAAAATAAAGTATATTAATATAAATTATAAATATAAATCCATAAATCATTTAGTTATATAATAAAATAATAATAAACAAATAATACATACATGGAGCCAATTTTCAGGGTTCGGTAATTAAAAAATGAAAAATCCTTTTACAAGAAAGCACAAACAGGCCTGGCAATACATCCTTTTGAATTTGAGTGAATTGCTCTTTGGTTTCTAGTGCTCCAGGATGCTGTGATGCAGTCAATAGATTGCGTGGTTCTTACATTTACATATTTTCATTTTGGGCACTCGCTTCTCAAACTGATATGAACCAAACGATTGGGACACGAATCTATTGACCTATTTACACCTGGGTGCCGTAATACTAGAGCGACACGAACTCGCCAGGACCGCCGCCCTTGTCCTGGCCCTGAGTCGCCTCCTGCGGCTGGTGGAGATCCTGCGCCTGCTCCGCGATTCCCTTGGACTGAGCCTCCGCCTGGCCGAAGAGCGTCTCGTTCTCGTACCGCTCTTCGTCGGGCAGGGAAAGGGTGGATGCACCCAGTCCGCCGCTGGCGGTGATCCTTCGTCCCATGTTGTCGTACTTGGGATACGCGGAACTCTCCAGCGGTCGCATGGGCGTGACCTCCATGGGCGACGGCGATTGGCAGGCGGATGGCTGCGGCGAAGTGCTGTTGATGCAGCTGGCACAGTTGCTAGGACTCGGGTGGTGGCACTGCACCACCGCTGTGACGGCGGGCGGCGGCGGGGGCGGTGGCAGCTCCATGGCATTGCTGTGGTACGCCGACTGGTGGGGGTCATAGCCACTGGCCTCCAGGTTGTAGGTCACGATTTCGTCATGAGTATAGAGTCCGGATTGCTGATGTTGTTGAAGTTGCAGGTGTTGCTGATGTTGCTGCTGCTGATGTTGCTGATGTTGCTGCTGCTGCTGCTGCAGAGAGGTGTCCTTTTTCAGTATACCCCTTCTGGCTGTATGCCTGGGTAACGTAGCAAACTGACCCTCTGGCACGGCCACCGTACCGGCACCCGTCTCCTGCACATCCTGCATCCTCTTGGGAATATTCAGCAGATCCGGATACATGTTCAGGTCCGCACCATCCAACATGTCCTGGGTAACAGATACACGAATGAAAATGTTGCCCCCGAAGGCAGGATTCGGTACTATGTTCGAACAGAACTCTGGTGGCGGTGGAAAAACGCCCACGTTAAGCGGAAACTCCTCGGAGATCTGGGCAGGATGCGAGTGGGCGTGGCCAGCCATCGAGGTGGGCACACTCATCATGCCGCCGCAGGTGGGATCCTTGACCTGCATCAGTTGCTGCCGCATGCCAGAACCTCCGGCCACCTGCTGCTGCTGCGGCTGCTGCTGCACCAACATGCTGCCATGGCGATGGCTCTCCACAGCATGGATCTCGATCTGGTTAAAGCCCATGCCGGCCGAGTCCGCCTTGTTCAGGCCCATGTGGGAGGTGGGCTGGTTGTCGATGCCGTAGCTGTCGCCTCGATCATTGGTGGTTGTGGTAACACTTGAGTCCAGCAGCTTCTTTTCCTGATCATTAAAGCTCACGCTGGACTTCACACCCGCCTTGTTGGCATGCCTATGCTGCCGGGTGGTGCGTTTGCACAGACACACCACAAACGAGATAGAGATCAGCAGAAAGACGGTGCCGAAGATTCCCATGATGAGGCCGAAGTACCAGAACGTCTCAGGTGTCTTCTCCAGGACATGCTGAACGATCTCGCTGAGGTAGATGCTGATGTTCTGGGTCATGCTACCGATGGCATTCGAGCCCGTGCAGGCGTAGGTGCCAGCATCCAGACTAGTCACGTTGAATACGGTGAGATTGCTCCACAGCTTGTCTGACGCGATGCTCTCCGAGTCGAAGAGCACGTTGTCGTTGTCCAAGATCTTTCCGTTCAGTTCCCAGGCGACCTCTGGCAAAGGATCACCATAGACCAGGCAACTGAAGGTGGTATTACTGCCGATATCAATGTTGTGCACCTCCTCGTTGTTGAAGATCTCCACTCTCGGAGGACAGCCGAAGAGCTCATCATCCACGCTATCCCAGGAGCGATCCTTCTGAGCCGGCGGTCCTTTGCACACCAGACTCACCGAACTCAGGCGACTGGTGACATACCAACCCCTGAACTTTCGCAACTTGCAGTTGCACTGCCAGGGATTTTCCTCCAGCGAGAGCGTCTTTAAGTTGTTCATGTGCTGGAAGACGTACTCGCTCAGGCTCTCCAGCAGGTTGTTCTTCAGGTTGAGGAACTCCAGCAGATTGAGATTGGCCAGGGACATGGGATCAATGTAGGAGATCAGGCAGTCGTGCATGTCCAAGGTGCGCAGGTGGGGCAGTATGGGAAACTGATAGGCGGCCAGGCGCTTGAGGGGATTCCCATTCAGATACAGTATCCGCAGACGATCGTTGCCCATGAATGTGTCCTTGTCCAGCATTTCCAGCTTGTTGTCCGACAAGTCGATCTCCACCAGGATCTTGAGATTTCGAAACGACTCCTTGTGTATGTAATGCACCTCGGACTTCTTGAGGTAAATGCGCTGCAGGTTCAGCAGGCCCAGGGTGAAGAACTCCTCCCGGTTGAGATAAGGTATGTGGTTGTCATTCAGCACCAGCACCTGCAGTTCCGTGCTCAGGGTGTTCGGAATGGTGGTCAGCTGCAAGGAACTGCAGATGGCCGACTTCTTTCCATTGGTCCACTTGCAGGTGCAGTTGGAGGCGCAGCTCAGCGACCAGTCATCCGCCAAAGTCCAGGCCACCAGGCACAGCAGCATCCAACAGACTGAAATGGTTGTAAAACAGGAAATAAGAATGGTTTACAACTTAAATTCAACAAGGTCCTTCAGAGATTAAAGTTGTTTAGAATATGGCATATATAATATTTTATTTCCAATTCTGCTTAACAGATTTCGGTCATTGAAATCATATTATTTTTAATAGAAATAGTATGTCATTTAACTTTTCTTTCTATTCTATAAGGATTAGTATAGGATTAGAGCTCGACAAAATTTAAGAGACGTAAAAAAAATAAATATGTAATCAAAGGCCAGACCGATATTTATGTTTTATAATAATATATACTATATATGTTACAACATAATTCTTCAAAATAAAAATAGCAACTGTAATGCAGAAATAACGTTCTGGATCAGATTTTAGCCATTGTGTTGAATTTAGAAGCCAAACTTTAAAAGGTGCTTTGAATTGTCCAATTTATGGGCTAAGAATTGCTTACTTTAAAACTAAGCTTATATACGTTTCAGGGTCAGCAATAACAAAATAGTCTTTAAGATCCATTTGGTATTAAAAAAAAAACATAAATTGAACTTGGCTGAAATCGGTTCTTTTTTTGCATGGCAGCTGCTGCCTGGAAATGACAACTCACCTGGCAGAGTCTTCGGGGTCCTGCTCCTCCTGCGCTCCATGCTGTGGTGCATATGGCTCCGTTCGGCGCTCCTGCTGCCGATTTTCCACGACCACGACCCTGGCAATTGATGACCCTAAATGGCTTTGGCTGATTCGATTGCCATGTTTCACATCATGTTGCCGCCGCCAGCAAAAAGGTCTCCATTACTCCACATTACTCAGCACTTTGGCCACACTTCTGCTCGGGCACTATTGATTTTGCCGTTTTTATGTGCTGGGCTGCTCCTCCTCCAGTTGGCCTGAGTTCTTTTCTTTTAATTCGCTTCGAGTAGAAAGTTGGTCCTTCTCAATACTCCGGATCCTCCTGCTGGTATCCTTTTAAGAATTCAATTCTTAAATCTGCAAAATGTAAAAGAGAATCCGGTATTAGCGTGAGCGGCCCAACAATGCCCATTCATTGTAGTTGTGTACTATAGTTCTAGTTGTTCTTACTGCGCCCACACTTCACCCATTTGCAATTTCTGTTTACCGAGTTTGGCTTTGGCCTCTGAATAGAGTGGGTGGGCTGTGTGGGTGAGCGCCAAGTGGCCGGGGCCTTAAAATCGCCTTTCAACAACATTTTGTAATTTGTTGTACGTCCAGCTGGACGGCACAACAAAGCGGCAACCAAAACCCGCAGGGGCACAGGCTCAAACTCAGGGCATACCCAATGCCCAACCCAGTTTAATTCTTATTCTCATTTTCATTGGCATCGACTTCGGCATTGGCATCGGCATCGGCATCTTTACAAAATCAGCATCAATAGCCTGTCGAATGCTTTTTACTTTTGTACTCCCCACTCGGGTTTTTGTTTGTACTTCTTTTGAATGCAAAGGAGCGGGACAGAGCTGGAAAAAAGCCAACCAGGAGCGGTTACAAGGAAAAATAAAGAAGTAATTTGGAACTCCTACTTGTTTTTTTTTCCACCTTTAACATAGGCTTACAAAAACAAATCGACAAAAGTTTTCGAGAATTAACCTTGATTTTAGGTGCAGTTGGAAACTGAATCTCAAAATTAGTTGAATGGTTCGATTTTTTTTGGTGTAAATAATGTTTTTATCTTTAGTTCTGCCCAAAAGATTTCGGTAATCGATAGCTTATTTTCTTAAAAACATTGTTCAACCTTCCCATACGTGTTATAAGTATTCCTTGTATAGATGCTAGAGCTCGACAATGTTTAAAATAAAACAGAAGTTTCGACACCATAAATAAATTTATCAAAAACAAACACTTAATAATTTGATCGCTTTATCTTGCAGATGGGAAATCCACCAATCTAACAACACTCCGGCAGTAAATCTATTTTATCCTTAAAAGTAATTTAGCTCAACGGAAAATGCCTAATTTTACCCAATCTACACCGCACTTACTGTTGCCAACCAAAGTTGGGCCACATTTGCTTTGCCCTAAGGTTTCCTGGATGGTTCAAAGCCCCAAACCACCCCATAAGGAGGAATCCGCTACGCTGGCAAACTAAGAGATACAGACAGACAATGAAAACGTAAAAAGCTCAAAAGGTTCATTTGTCAATTTGCCATTTGAATTTGTATTTGAGAATTCACTTGGCCGCTTTTGCGCTTTGTCCTCATGCCACCCAACCACCAAAACACCCACTACCAGGAACCCTCCCTCTCCTAAAAAGGACGTCCAACAAAGCCAGGCCAAAACCTTGGCAGCCTCAATTTCTGCTCATCGCTCGATGCTGGCAATGCGGATAATATTTCCTGTGTCAGTGTAGCAGCAGTTGGCAGTTGCAATTGCTGGCTTTTCCTCAGCCTCACCCCGCCCGCCCCTCCTCGCCACAAGTATTTTCCACTTTACTCCCAATCGTCGACAGTTTTATTTTTGCTGCTTTATGAGCACACAGATAAAAAACTGGCATATCATTTCTGTTCCCAAATAAGAATGTATGATAAATAATTAGATTCTATCGTGATTGGTCTAAGAATAAGTTAAACTTGGGATGATATTTAAGTTTAATTTTTTGAGTCTCTTGTATTTGAAGATATTTAAATGAAATTGCAATTTAGGTATGCACACCATCTTTTTTTCAGAATTTTCTTTTAAACGATTTTTTCTCAGTGAAAAAAAGTGGTGAAGGGGACTTAGAGGGCACTCTGGGCTGGAACCGCATCGGCACTCACAGGTTCGTTGATATTCATAAATGTGGCACAGTGGGCCAAAAAAGCAAAGCTAATTTGATGGCCAATTGCCAAAGGAGGCCAGGCAAAGCGAGCAACAATATTAAAAAAAAAATATTATGGAGGAATATGTTGCGAAAGGACTGACTGCAGCCGCAAGTCGTAAAGCAAATCAATTAACTGATGGCACACAGACATGGCTTTCTGGCCATATAGGAGATGACCCACAAAGATATGGGCTTCCCGACATTCGGATTCGGATTCGAATTTTACCCTGCCAAAGGCAGACATACGAAAATAATGACTCGGAGATCTCGTATCGGGTATCTGGCTAATCTGCTGGAATGGACGGTAATTGTTAACCTGTAAACGAAGGACTTGGCAATTGCCAATTTGATTTCGAATCCAATTCAAGATAATCGGCGGCAGTTTAGCTGTAAATTGATTTCGGGTTTTAAGTCCAAACAGATGCCACTGTGCGTATCAACAATTAATAATAGTAAACTAAGTGGACTAAGAAATTGAATAGCTTTTATAATCAAAACAAATGGACTTAGAAATTTTATAATCTCATTTGCACTTAAATGGCAGAAGTATTAAGCTGGTTTAATAAGTCTTTATTCCTTTATCATAATTAATGTATCACTTATTTTTCGTCAAGAATGTTTACCTCGTAGGATTCGTAATACCTCGTTCTCTGCAAGGCATTATTCAAAATAACAAGAATTGATTTTTACAGCATCAGAGCATTAAAATTAATTATGTATAATAAATACTTAGTAACACATTATTCCTTCCTATTCTGCTGGAATATTGTAATTCATTATTCCGTCATATTCTGCTGGACTTTAAAAAGCTCATTCCTGCCTTAATCTCTGAGAGATAATTCATTATCTTTTACCTCACATTTTTGGTTGGCAAAAAAATTGCCATTTTTAGTTCGCCACGTTATTTGTGCTTCTCTTTTTTGTTGGTCATATACAATTCCATTTGACAATTGGAATTCAATTTCAATTTTCAGCTGGCCGAAAGTTAACTAAATGTCCGCCCCCGCAGCTCGACCACGCCTTGCTCATTTGTAAAACTTCATCAAATGTAATTGTCGGAAAACAGCAAAAAGTGCTTGTCCAGGACTAACAATTGGAGGCCATGCTCCGTGCTGCATTACCAAATTAAAAACAAAAACTAAACTAACTTTTCCCTTTTTTTTTCTTCCATTCAACATTTTTTCTTTCGCCTTCCTGGTGCGTAGACAGGGGCGTAGGTCACCCACTAGGGGTTATTTTAGTGATTTTTTAGATTATGCAAATGCGACGGGCTCATATATTTGTATATATAACAAATCTGCGGATAGTTTAAGTATTTGTAGAGCTTTGCTGTATTCTCATAATGGCTTTACATTTGTCAGATAAAGTGTTGCTTTCACATGTAAACTGTCAATCAGAAATTTTAGTCATTAAAAAATGTTGCAGTTCGGAAAACCAATAAAAACCATACTTTATTTTAAAATCTAAAAATAAAATATATGTGTGTTTTTAATTTTTGGCTCAACGTTACCAGTTTAAAGAATTAATATTCAATTTTCTTGTATTAAATAACTAATTATTTTACCTTCGTCACTTGTTAAAATATATTTAGGCAAAATAGAAGTATTAAAAGGGATTTTATCAATAGTTGAAATTGTTGAATAAGGGATATAAAGAAAATTTTATATTGGAATAACTAGTTAATTTTTTTAAACCTACAATGCTCCTTGTTGGAATATCCTTAGGACTAAGCCGCTGTGCGTATGCAAATGGTTTCTTTGCCGCCTGCCTGAGCACTTTTTCCCTGACCGAAACCCAGCTACCGCCCTTCCTCTTTCAACCTGCCACCCACTCACCCTGCTTTCTCCAGTTGTTTTGCTGTTGCATAAGCACGTGCGAATGTGCGTGCAAATGCAAATGGCGATAGAAAACTTTTTAAATTGAGCAAGCATTAACAAAAAGGCAAATTCAGAAGTGGGCAGAAAGTGTGGGGCGTGGGGGTGTGGCACTTGCATGGCTTAAACAAATACAAAAAACAAGAGCAGTTTGCTATTATCGCCCGTCATCGGGTGGCCTATTTGTTTTTCCTTGTTAAGACCAAGAGTCTCGCCAATCTTTCAAGGACAGCCGCCACACCAAAGTGTAAATTGCAAACTTTTCCTTGGATCCAAAATGGATCGGGGCGTCCTTCGTGCCACAAATCCGCACATAATCGGAAAATGTCACAGAAAACTTAAAAAAAAAACAAGCTAAAATTAATGGCACTCGAAGCGCCGCCAGGCCAAGATTAGATGCCGCTGACGTTGACCGTGTTGAGTTTTATTGCTGCCCGGAAATGGTTTTCATAAATACACAAAACTCCGCCAGCAGCAAGCAAGATGGCGGCAGCAGACACTTATGGACGGGGGCAATGCAATTATCTGGGGGCAGCAGAGTGCGAGTGCAGCACATTGTACGTGCGAAAACGAGAAACAGGACATTCGCCTTAGCCAAGTAGCCCCGGGGTTTCCACGGTCGGGGTTCCCGGGGATTCTGGGGTTGCCGGGTATTCCGGGAGCTAGGGGAATTCCATTGGACAGAAGATGTACGGCAGAGAAGGACATAAACATGTGCCTTGGTCCTGCGTCGACGGAGTGCCAGCAAATGCAATTGTTATTGTTTGCCGAGGCTTTCGCAACGCGGAGCATTGTAAATTTATCATGAGCTCTGCTAGGATTACACCGAACAAAATATATATGTATTGCAAATAGAGCAGAAAATGAATACTTAAAAATGGCTTAAACAACTGAGGTTGTTATAAAAGTTAAAGGAAAATAACAGGGCAAGCCAATTTTGCGAAAAATAAAATATTTACTTTTTGGGTTCATTTAAAGCAAAACTGAATTAAGCAATTTTT